GCCTGTCTCGTGTATCGCTTGCTCTCAGGGCCCTAGGACAGGACTCAGCGCACACCAAGCCAAGCCGAGTGAAGAAGTAGAGGGAACAGTACACCACATCAGACACTAACAGGGCCAGGATGACCGAAGGAGACACCCCATTCCTCTCATCTATTCTAGGCCTAAATAGCTTCTCTCATCTGCTCCAGAGTGGCCAGGGAGCCACTCCCTGCGGGAACCACAGCTTGGGATGAAAGTGTCCCTTCCACAGCTTTCCTGGGGCCAGGCCCACTTGCCTTGGAAACTGCTTTAGCGGAATTAAAACTGCAGAACAGTGTCTATGAGCAGCCGAAGCCCAGTCTGGGTAGGAGCAACTCACAGAGGGATCCTACTGGGGTTTCCCTTCCCCACCTGCCAGGACCTCAGAGCAGGAGACGTGTGGTTCCCTCTCAGCGGCTTCTTGCTGCAGTGGCAGAGAATAAGGGGGTTAAGAGATGTGGCAATCCGAGCCAGTGTGTTTATGTCTCTGCTTTAATGTGGAGGCTGGGCTTGAAGCCCGAGTGGAAGCCGGGTCCTTCAGAGGCCCTGGCAGCTACCACCCAGCCAGGAATGGATGCATAATTTTCAGGGCTCAGTGCAAAATGAAAATGTGGGAACTTTGTTCAAAAATTAAGATTTTTAAGACAGTGACAGCAGAACATTGAAGCAAGCACGGGCCTTTTGAAACCTGTGAAGCCAGCCTTGGTCCCAGCTGGAGGAGCCCAGCTTATGCCAATCACCTCTCCCCGCCCAGACCTGCCATCTAAGACTTCTTAGTCCAGAAAAGTTGCTGGAGTACTTGAAAGCCTCAGGAGCTTTGCTCAACTGCTCATCCCTATCTTGGGAGTAAAGGACTCCAGGCTGCTGGCAGAGACTCTGCCAGAGCGGGCACCTCATGCTTTCCTTGGTGTCCTAATGGGCGCTGCCTTGGTGTTCCCGCCACAGAAACCAGAGCCTGGAATAGAAACAAGGATACCTGCGAAAGTCACCCAGACTTGAACCTAGTGAGGTCTGCCCATGGTCAGCAAATATTTGCAGAGGGTCAGGCACAGTGCTGGGGTATGGTGAACAAGCAGCCCACAGCCTAGTGGATGAAGAAAATGGACATATGCCATGAGAGCAGGCCACTGTGGGAATACAGAAGAGGGAACCTGACCTGGCCTGGGTGGATGGGAGTTCAGGGAAGGCTGCCTGGTGGAGGTGACATCTAGGCTAAGACTTGAAGGCTGAATTAGGCAAAGAGGGGAGGAAGAGTGAGCGCAAAGAGCATATGCAAAGGCCTAGGGTAAGGAGAGAACCTGGCACATTTAGGGAAATTTTAAGTTCAAGGTGACTGAGACCAGATCAAGAAGAGATGGTTTTAAGGTCGAGATCATGAATAAAATGAATGTATGTAACGTGCTTGGCACAGTCCATGGTAAATGCTCTGCCATAGTAGCTCATTATAATTATGGTCTTGCAAGTCAAACTAAGGGTTTGGGACTTTATCCTGCAGTCAATTGGGAGGCATTCAAGGGTTTTAAGCCCAGGGTGACTTGATGAGATTTGCAATATGGCCAGACTTAAAGAGATCCCTGTGGCTGTGGGGAGAATTATGGGCTAGAAGAGAAGCAAGCCTGGAGGACCCAAAGGCCAGTATGGAGACTGAGAGGGTGGGTGGGAGGCTTCGATTACCCCTCAACAATAGAGTAGATACATGTACAGTGAAAGACAGACGACAACAATGAAATAAACTTACTATAGCCACATGCAACAACATGGATGAGTTTTGCAAAAGAAGCCAGACACAAAACAATTCCATATCATTTTATTTATATCAAGTTCAAGGAAGAGGCAAAACTAAACCATAGTGTTTAGGGATGTATTCTCTGGTAGCACAACTATAAAAGCAAGGATGTGATTATCACAAAAGTACTCAGAACAGCAACTTCCCCGCAGTGGGCTTCTGCTTGACTATTCAGTACTTCGGGCTTGAGTGATGCTAACCTTTATCACTTTGGGATAAATCATTAGGCTTTACATTTATGTCTTGTGCACTTTTCTGTATCTGTGCTACTCTTAACAATAAAAAGGTTTAAAAGTACGGGGTAGCAGAAATGAGGGTGGAGAAGAGTGGCTGGTTTTGACATGTGGAAGGCGAGCAGGGAGGGTATGAGGCGCATATCGGGAGACACAAGCATGGGACGGCACATGAGAAGGTGCGGAGCAGTGGGCAGCACTCTGTGGTAGAGAACCTGTGTGATGCTGAAGTGGAAATGTCCAGGACCCCTGTGTCAACTCACACAAGTCACTTCCCCTGAATCCAGATTCCCTTCTCCACACAAGAGGGAAGCCAGTGTGGTTTAATGGAACCAGCTTTGGGTTTTGGTATTGGGAACCCTGGGCTTGAAATCCCAGTTTTGCTTTTTTTTGAGACAGAGTCTCTCTCACTCTGTTGCCCTAAGTAGAGTGCCATGGTGTCAGCCTAGCTCACAGCAACCTCCAACTCTTGGGCTCAAGCGATCCTCCTGCCTCAGCCTCCTGAGTAGCTGGGACCACAGGCACACGCCACCACACCTGGTTAATTTTTTCTTTTTTTTTTTTTTTTTGAGACAGAGTCTTACTGTGTTGCCCAGGCTAGAGTGCCGTGGCGTCATCCTAGCTCACAGCAACCTCAAACTCCTGGGCTCAAGCGCTCCTCCTGCCTCAGCCTCCTGAGTAGCTGGGACTACAGGCCAGTATGGAGACTGGCCTACAGGCATGCGCCACCATGCCCGGCTAATTTTTTCTGTATATTTTTAGTTGTCCAATTAATTTCTTTCTATTTTTAGTAGAGACCGGGTCTCGCTCTTGCTCAGGCTGGTCTTGAACTCCTGCGCTCAAACGATCCTCCTGCCTCGGCCTCCCAGGGTGCTAGGATTACAGGCGTGAGCCACCGCGCCTGGGCCAAATTGTAGTTATTAATAACATAAATCAGTCAGCCTAGGAATCTGAGTATAAAGGAAGAATGGGTAGAAAGTCAAGATCCTCTTTAAGCCTCGTTTTATTTAACAGAAAAGCTTATTCCAAGCTGAGATGCTTCACCTGCCTGTCCACTGACAGGGAAGAGCTAGTACTCCTAGCCTAGGAAATAAGCAAACCAGGGCACTTTTGAGAAAGGAGGCAATATTAATAACTATGCCAGGACAGCAGTCATAAACCAAGACTGTCCCAAGTGAAGGACATGTGGTCCCCGTATGCAGGTCCGAGACAGGGCCCCAGCATCGTGTCTCCTGTCAAGCCTCCCATCTGAACCGTAAGCTCTGTGAGGGAAGGAACTGCTGCGCCTAGTGTGCCTACACAGAGCTGGCTTATTTCTGGAGGGCTCATCTCTACTTGGAGCAACCCTCACAACACTGACAGGTGCTAAGAGCTAACATTTATTAAGCACTTACGAAGTGCCAGGTACCTTGTGGAGTACTTTGCATGCATCAGCCCAGTTAATTCTCACCAAATCTTTATGAGGTAGGCGGACTTATTATCTTCCACTGAGGAAACTAAAGAGGTTAATGCCTTCAAGGCCACGTATCTAGGGTGGAGGAGCAGGGATTTGAAACTAGACTAGGCCGGGTGCAGTGGCTCACGCCTTTAATCCTAGCACTTTGGGAGGCCGAGGGGGGAGGATCGCTTGAGCTCAGGAATTTGAGACCAGTCTGAGCAAGAGTGAGTGAGACCCCGTCTCTACTAAAAATAGAAAAAATTAACTGGGGGTAGTGGCCCGTGTAGTCCCAGCTACTTGGCGAGGCTGAGGCAGGAGAATCGCTTGAGCCCAGGAGTTGGAGGTCGCTGTGAGCTAGGCTGACGCCACAGCATTCTAGCCCGGGCATCAGAACGAGACTCCTGTCTCAAAAAAAAAAAAAAAAAACTAGACTAGATGAGAAACTAGAGAATCTTAGTTCTTCGTTACTGTTCATACCACTGCCTCGGTTTTTCTTGACACCCCGCTCCCGCCCCCAAGCCACATGCATCCAGGACCACGGACATCAGAAGCCGCACAGCTAGGGCATCTGAAATCTCTGGCTCCACAGACACCAGACTAACAGCAGGTGGCAAGCTTGCCCTCTTCTCAAGCTAGCACTGGGAGGGCTGCTAACTTGGAAGGCCAAAGGTGGGTGGAGCTACTATACTGAGACGCCTGCAGGTCCCTACCAAAGAATCCTGCAGGGAACCGGGCAAGCAGCACCGAGCAATCGCCGGTCTCCTAGGTTAACCTTTGCAGCCGGCTTGAGGTCTCAGTGAGGCTTTGAACTGCAACTAACGGCCACAGATATGTCAGTGTTGGAAAGCTTCTTCGAAGCACTTCGTTTAGAATTTCCCAACTTTGCCAAAAGCTATCTTTATTACATGCCACCCCCCGACGGTAGTTTTAAGTTTCTTCTACTCGAGCGCTTACGACTTGGGCAGGCTCATTATGAGAAAAGGTTCGATTTGCATGTACCCTGGACACGGGGCAAGGTTGGAAAACATTCTAGCACGACACAGAACAAAGGCCCAGAGAAGGTAAGAGACTAGCTAGACGTGGCAGAGCGCCCAGGGGCTAGGACCCAGCTCCCCGCTACGTCCAGCGCCTACGTCACCAGGACTCCGGCCCGAGACGGCGGAGCAGCCTTAGCCCCAGCCCGAGCCCCCAACAGGTTTCAAACCTGCCCCGCGCCCCCTAGTGCGCACACTCAGTCCAACGCTGCGGGCGCACCGCCCACCCAGATCCTCCGGCTGCAGCGGGTGTGCTGGCGGGGGAAACTGAGGCGGAGGCGCGCTCGTGAGTTCATTCTTTCGTCGGCTTACCCCCAAAGGCGGACAAAGCTGTCTCCCTCTCTACAGAGCTGCATGGAGCAGCAAGGAAGGACGGGAGGAAGGGGAGGGGGCCGAAAACAAGTGGGGTCTGATGAACCAGCCGACCCTGCCACACTCAAGATGGCGGCGCGGCCGTGGCGAGGTCCCTCAGAGGCGGTACCAGCGCATGCGCAGCGCGGAGTCCCTGCCCGGGACACAAGATGGCGGCAGCGGCGCTGGGGAGGGCGAGGCGGAGGCGGCAAAACGGGCGGTCGAGCAGAACGTGTAGCCCCGTCCCCTCGACTCCGCTCCGGGCAGGTAAGAGTCCCAGGAAGCCATGGTCCCGCCGCGAGTCGCGCCAGGGCCTGGGGATCCGAAGCCGGACGGCAGTGGCCCCTCCGGCGCTTTCCGCTCGGGGCTGCCGCTTGCCCTGTCTCTGTCGCCGCCGCCATCTTAGACCTGCGGGTGGGCAGCCGGGCCGGTGGCCGAGGTGAGGGAGGTGGGCCCGGAGAGCGCGGGCGGAGCGGCCTCTAGGGCCCCTCCGCTGCTGCCGCCGCCACCGCCTTTGTGTCAGGCTCCGACTCTGAGTCGCCTCAGCCCGGGGGCGGGAGCGCGCGGCGGGGCGGGGGGCGGAGCCCGGGAGATGGGCCGGCGCGCGCGCGCCAAACAGCCCGCCCCCGCTGCGGTTGGGGGAGGGGAAGGTGCACGCGCGCCGGGCTCGCCCCCTCCTGCGCGCGCCCCTGCGCCTGCACACTTTGCAAACCCGTTCACTCCTCCCTAGTGGGCCGGAGAATTCTGATTGGTACATTAGTGGGATGCTCCCGCCCCTTCTTTCTCCAATCCCGGAGTCGGACTCTTTTCCTTCTGGTGGGTTCCTCTGGGTGCGCAGATAGAGTTGTTTATCCTTAAGCCGGGTTCTCAGAGGACGGTGTGCGTGGGGGTCGGGAAGCCACAGGGTAAATAGAAACGTTATCTTAACAGGAGGAGCTGTGTCTTACTGAGAGCGTACAATATGCTAGCTAGACCGTGCTCACAGAGGCCGAGTGGTTCCCGTTTTAAGCCAGAAAGCGGGAGAAGGGCCCGGAATCCGGGTTCTAAGGCCACAGAGCTGCTGCACCCAGATCACATAGAGAATTAAATTTTTGTTTTCTTTTCTTTTGTTCTTTTTTTTTTTTATTTTTTATTTATTTATTTTTTTTAGGCAAGCACAAAAATGAGGTTTATTGAGGCGTGAGAGAGAGGATTATAGGGCAAGAGCAGGATATAGGTTTACAGAGCATGGTACATATGCCACAGGTGACCACCGGACCCATTGTCACAGCAGGGCAAGCAAAAGGAAAGGCAAAAAGCTAAATTTTTCTTAAGTGTAAAAAAAATTGGTAAATTTTTCAAATGGTGTGAGGTGAAAAAATTAGCCATCCCATCTCCCAGTCATTCTTGGGGTGCGTTTAGAGAATACAAATTCTTGTGTACTCCCCCTCCATTTCTGGCTCCTAATATGTGGAGTGAGGTACAGGAGTGTGAATTGTTTTTTTCCTACAAACCCCCAGATAATTTTGCTGCACAGCCCGTTTCCGTTTGGAAATACTGCAGTGTCCCTGTTTGGCCTCTCACTAAGCTGTGCTCGTTCTGCCTGTTCTGCAGAGTTCACCTACCTGGTGCATCAATATGACAGGATATTTCTTGGGAAAAATAAGTTTTCAATAAAGACAAGATACGTTACATAATGTATTTGCATGTTTTTATTTTTTTCAAGGCATTATTCAAAGACGTGTGTCTTTCACTTACCCATGGGTGGTTTAGGATTGTGCCCCAGATTCATGAGATGTATATTCACTTTTTTCTGGTCTAAGCGCACTTTAGTTGGCAGGACCCAGGGTACAAAATGACAATGTGGGTCCCTCGTTGGAAAATTATTAAAAGTTTTAAGACGGTGACAGCGGAGCATTAAACCCAGCTCTGGGCTTTCCCAAAGTTGGGGCCCTGTGCAACCATGCAGATCACAAGTCCATGAAGGCGAACCTATTGGTTTGGAAGCTTGAGAAGTAACAGTTTCATCCCCTGAATCTCCAGGACCCCTGCCCTCCAGTGTGTCCTGCCCTGGGAGCTCCCAGCTTGTTCTGTGTCCTTGCCCCTCTTGCTGTGGTCCGTGCCCTGCAGCATTTCACAGGTCTGTGATACTCTTTTCTTATATTTGCTCTCCAGCGGCTGATGCAAGGAATCCCCTGTGCCCCCGTCCACTCCACTGCTGACCAGCCCACCCACCGTGCTGAGCCTTCCTGCAGGCCTCCCCTCTGCCTCTGTGGGACCCTGTGACGTGGGGGTCCATCCAGCTGGAGAAGAAAACCCTCTCATGCTAGCGTTGCAGACCCCAGAGGGTGAGAGAAAGGGGGATCTCATTCAACCTTGAAACCTATGGGCCTGGCCCCCAAGGCACCAGGAATTCCTCCTCCCCAGAGAACCAAGGAGAACCAAGGCAGCTCTGGCTTTTTCGTCCCTTGGTTAGTGGTTCTAAGCCTTTTTGTTATCGAAGCCCTATTTTGTTGTGTATATGTCCTGTTGCCCCCTGCATTTTTCTCTGCCAAACTGTACCGATGGAGTAACCATTCATTTTTCCCTTTGCAAATTAACAAAGACATCTATGATTGAATGATTGAATGTACAATAAAATCAATGTCCCAGGGATTCCTATGATGTCGTTAACAACCAATCAGAGCTTCTGATCAGTATGAGATAAACATTGTGACCACAATGAGTTGATAAAATTTCAGCATGCAAACATAATGGATGTTTAAACTTCCCTTTGTGGTCTCATTGGGGGTAAAGGTTTGATTTCTTTTGGGTGTTGTGACGTACTGAAAATAGCTTTAGAATCACCAGTCCGATCATCGTTGGTCCCTTAAGAGTCTGACAGCTCCAGGCCAGGAACCACTTTGGCCACTGAGGCTTGTGCTGAGTGTGCTTTGGTGGGGCAAGTAGGGAATACAAATCTGAAGGAACTGGCCTCCTTGCTGCAAGTAAATTTTCACCTGGGGGTTATAAAGGACTGAATTAGTCCTTCTTGGTTGCACTGATTCTTTTAGTGACAGATTGCTTCCTGTCCCACAGTGTAAAATGAGGCGACTGGTTCAGTTCCATGCCCCTTCCCCAACTGTGCTTTGTTCCGTTTAGATTTGACTGGATGGGAGCAGTAAAATCCCATCTCCCAAGAGGAGTTCTCACTCTTCCTTCTTGTAGGACTAGCTTCTCAAGGGCAGACCTTGTTCTGATTGTTTGCCACTCTTGGTACTTTGTAAATGTTTGCAGAATTAATAGCTGAGCTCTGGAGAGAGCTGAATTGGACCCCATTCCTATTCCTGGAAGTTCTGACAGTCTAATAGGGAAACAAACCCAGTTGATAGACCAAGGCATCTGAGTGCTATGCTGGAGGTGTTCGTGGCCCTGAGCAGGGACTCTGACCACTTAGCCCGGAGAAGGGAGAGTCAAGAAAGGCTTCCTGGAAGATTTGAACCCAGCAGCAGGCCAGGCAGAGAATTGGGGGATGGGTATTTCAGGCAGGAGCAGAAGGAGCGTACCCATTTTATAGTTGAGGGAACTGCAGCTTAGATCCCAGGATTCCTGTGGCACCACGCCAGCCCTCCAGGACAGGATTGGATTTCTCCATGTCTAGGAGTGGTCACTGGGGCCCTCAGTGGATAATAATTGGTGGGTGGAGGGGTGGAGCTGACAGTCTTCCCTCCTGTGTGTGACAGGTCCCGTGTGGGTGCTGAGATGGCCAATGAGAATCACGGCAGCCCCCGGGAGGAAGCGTCCCTGCTGAGTCACTCCCCGGGCACTTCCAATCAGAGCCAGCCCTGTTCTCCAAAGCCAATCCGCCTGGTGCAGGACCTCCCAGGTACTGACGGGGAGCAGTGGTGGGTGGCGGGGTAGGAAGGGTACCCTGGGAGCAGCCCTAACTCTGGCTGGGTCCCCTGCCTGTTTGCAGAGGAACTGGTGCATGCGGGCTGGGAGAAGTGCTGGAGCCGGAGGGAGAACCGCCCCTACTACTTCAACCGATTCACCAACCAGTCCCTGTGGGAGATGCCCGTGCTGGGCCAGCATGATGTGATTGTGAGTGCCAGCCTGGGGTGGGGGTCTCAGAGCAGCCTCTGGCACCTGGCCTTCCCCAAATGTACCCTGAGCAGCTGTTATGGCCTAGCCCTGTTCTGGCACCTGCAGATACAATGACAAACAAGACAGACACAATCCCTACCCTGATACAACCTACACTCAAATAGGGGAGACTGACAGATGATTAGAATAGCGTAGGATATTGAGTTTCTGCTATAGAGTTGGGCGCTGCACAGCAGCGCAGGTACAAACGAGATAGATGTGCGCCCTGCCCGCGAAGAGCGCCCACTTCTACTAGAGAGGGACGGTCGGATTACAATTGTGGTACTTGTATCAAGAATAGTGTTAGAGTGCATCAGGGTCCTGACCTGGTCTGGGGAAGGGGACGGGACAGGAAAAGCTCTGAGAATGTGTTTAAGGTGAGGAGGTTAGCTAAGTGAGAGCGGCAAGAGGGGAGGAGGAGAGTATTCTAGGATCTGAAACAGCAGTGCGTACAGGTATGCGCTGTTTGGTGGGAACATGGGCTTTTTCGTCCCTCTCAGGGCAGCCTTTATGGGGCACAATCAAGCCAGTTGGCAACTTCATTTTGCAAGCGAAGACGTGAGGTTCAGAGAGGGGAACTGATTGGCCCAAGACCTCACAGTTAGCAGTTAGGCAGAGCACTCGCACATCGACATGACTTCAGGGCTACATTGCCAAACACACACATACTCTGGTGTCACCAAAGGAGTTCCCTCCACACAGGGTCTTGCTTTATTAAAAATAGGCATTTCTTGAGTTTTTCCTTTATTCCTTTCATTCTGTTCCTAAGGAAAATACATTACCATGTTTTGAGCACTGATCTCATGCTAGATGCCATGTTAAAATACACTCACTGATTCATTTAATAACCTTCTCAGTGGTAACGCAGGGCTCCGCATGGCCATTCTGAAGGTGAGGGCATTGGAAGGGAAGTAACTTGCCCAGGTCACACAGCTGCAAGTAGCAGGCAGGAGTGGAGCCCGGCGTTCTCTCCCTGCATCCCAGCTCCTCTGCTCTTTGAAGAGTAGGAGCAGGGGCAGGAGGGCATGAGGATTGTAAAGTACTGGGGCTCCTAAGCCACCGGCCCCGGTTGCAACTCTGCTGGTCTCCCTCCACCAGTCGGACCCTTTGGGGCTGAATGCGACCCCACTGCCCCAAGACTCGAGCTTGGTGGAAACCCCCCCGCCTGAGAACAAGCCCAGAAAGCGGCAGCTCTCGGAAGAGCAGCCAAGCGGCAATGGTGTGAAGAAGCCCAAGGTGAGTGTCTGTTGGCTATCAGCAACTGGCTGGTGAGTGGCCAGCTCAGGCAGCCAGCAGGCTACCTGCAGGGGACGGGCGTCGGCAGGCTGGCCAGGAGGGGGGCGCAGGACGCAGCTCACCAGGTGTACGCAGCGTTCAGTGGAGCCTGTTTGCTGAATCTCCTGAGCTGATGCCTTTGCGACTCTTTTGCTCTAGATCGAAATTCCTGTGACACCCACGGGCCAGTCAGTGCCCAGCTCCCCCAGCGTCCCAGGAACCCCAACACTGAAGATTTGGGGTACATCCCCTGAAGATAAACAGCAGGCAGCTCTCCTCCGACCCACTGAGTGAGTCCCTGCTGATTGGCTCGGGGGTACCCGTTGCTGACAGCCAGCCTACCCAGGACTGTGGGATGGGGTATGGTGGTGGCAGGCATGGCATCCTCATTGCTCCTGTCTCCGCCCCAAGGGTCTACTGGGACCTGGACATCCAGACCAATGCTGTCATCAAGCACCGGGGGCCCTCGGAGGTGCTGCCCCCTCATCCCGAAGTGGAGCTGCTCCGCTCTCAGCTCATCCTGAAGCTTCGGCAGCACTACCGCGAGCTGTGTCAGCAGCGAGAGGGTAACTGCCTCGGGCCGCAGCCTCCTTCGTTCCCATCCACCTCTCGCGAGAGCCAGCTCAGCCAGACAGGCTGGGGGTGGCACAGTGGAGCCCAGTGTGCTGTGGGGAGCGCAGAGCTGTTGGAATCTTGGGCTCATCACTTAACCCCTCTGCACTTTAGTGTCCTCGTCCGTAAGGTGGGGACAGTGACTGTGCCTGCATAGAGGATGACTGGAGTCAGTAACAGAGATCATCATGAACACTTCTGCAGTGCTAGTATTTGCCAAGCACTGCTCAATGCCTTACTATATACAGGCTGAGTATCCCTTATCTGAAATGCTTGGGACCAGAATTGTTTCAGATTTGGGTTTTTTTTTTTTTTGAATTTTGGAATATTTGCATGTTCAAAATGAAATATATTGGGGATGAGACCCAAGTCTAAACACGAAACTCATTTATGTTTCATATACAACCTACATGCATAGCCTGAAAATAATTTTGCAAGAAACAGTTTTGACTACGTTTTAACTATGACCCATCACATGAGGTCAAGTGTGGCATTTTCCACTTGTGGTGTCATGTTGGCACTCAAAAAGTTTTGGATTTTGAGTCAGGCATGGTGGCTTGTGCCTGTAATCCTAGCACTTTGGGAGGCCAAGGTGGGAGGATTGCTTGAGGCCAGGAGTTTGAGACCAGTCTGGGTAACACAGCAAGACCCCCAGCTCTACAAAAAATAGAAAAATTAGCCAGGTGTTGTGGCATGCATCTGTAGTCCCAGCTACTTGGGAGGCTGAGGCAGGAGGATCGCTTGCCGTCAGGAGTTCAAGACCAGCTTGAGCAACAGTGAGACCCTGACTCTACTAAAAATAGAAAAATCAGTCGGGCATGGTGGCACACACCTATGGTCCCAGCTACTCAGGAGACTGAGGCAGGATCACCTGAGCTCAGGCGTTTGCAGTTGCTATGATGACGCCACTGCACTCCAGCCTGGATGACAGAGTAAGACTCTATCTCATAAAGGAAAAAAAAAAACAAACTAGTGATTCTCAGAATATTCTTTGGGAAATTTGGCCTACAACGTAAGCTTCTAAAGTAACAGGGACTCTGTCTTGCCTACTGCCCAATGTGGTGCCTCCTGTGTGCCAGGCCCCGAGTGGAACCTGTCGATTGAATCCAGGCTTTCAGTACCTCTCCTGTCCTACAGGCATTGAGCCGCCTCGGGAATCTTTCAACCGCTGGATGCTGGAACGCAAGGTGGTGGACAAAGGCTCTGACCCTCTGTTGCCGAGCAACTGTGAACCAGTTGTGTCACCTTCCATGTTTCGTGAAATCATGAATGACATTCCTATCAGGTACAGCCCCACAGGTGGGGATGACGCTGGGCCCTTTGATTAACGTGCCCAGTGATGTATAGGATTGCTAACTCTGCCTGCTCTCTAACCTAGGTTATCCCGAATCAAGTTCCGGGAGGAAGCCAAGCGCCTGCTCTTTAAATATGCAGAGGCTGCCAGGCGGCTCATCGAGTCCAGGTTTGGCTCCATTTCCTGCCCCAAGCAAGATGGGTCTGGATCATACCGGGAGGTTGTAGGCCATCCAGCCGCTCTCACGCAGGGCTCGTCATTGCTCTTGGTTGCAGAAGTGGGGCCAGCTCCCAAAGGCAGAACAAGGGCTGCAATGTAAGCCTAGGGATTGGTGCCTGAGAAGCCAGTGAAAGTGGGACAGGAGGAGTGAGGAGGGTGGAACAGGCACCTTAACAGCTGGCCCTGTGCAGAGCTGAGCCACCCTTCTCCCGCCCTTGACTGGCAGGAGTGCATCGCCCGACAGCAGGAAGGTGGTCAAGTGGAATGTGGAAGACACCTTCAGCTGGCTCCGGAAGGACCACTCAGCCTCCAAGGAGGACTACATGGTGAGTGGGCCCCAGGCTGAAGAGGCCAGTTTTAGGGCTCTGTGGCCACTTCCTCCAGGAAGCCTACTCTGCCTGTCCGTGCTGTGCAGGGCCTCCCCCAGCTGCCTATCCTTGTGTAGTACAGACCTTTGACACTCCTCAGTCCCTAAACTCTTGACTATGGAGATGTTTCTTTAGGCTCCTGGCTTTCTCCCAAAGAATGTTCCCATTAACATTCTTAATGGAATCCTATGCTTGGCCACACACTACAAGTAACTGCCTTTTCAACTTAATGAATGTTCAGCTTCTCCCTTGAGTAGATTTTTGGAGAGAGATTGACAAACTTCTTTTGTGTGTATGTGTTCATATCATAGTTAAGAGCTACCGTCAGATTCAGTTCCCTACTCTTAATGTGTCCAAAGCAATTCTGTTTTCTGGCCACATCCTATCACTTCTTAAACCTCTCCACCAGCACTAGCAATGGGCTTTCTTTTCAGGACCATTTTTCACAAGAGACAAGGTTTCGCACTTCACGATAGTAACTGTGTACTTGACACGTAGAGAGTGACGAAGGTAGGTGTGCTCACTAGCCAGAGTGACTCATTTCACTCTTCAGTTTTACACGTGTGATTCAGCAAAATTGCAAATGCCTACAGTCATCCTTGCAAGTAGCTAAAAGCTCAAATTTCAAAGCTGCAACAACCAAGCACCCCGTTTTGTAATCATCTCTTTCCCCGATAGACTGCAAATGCTATAAGCTGGGACCGTGCTGGTTTGTGGTTTGTCTGTTTCTCCAGTAATTATGGGAAGTAGCACAGTGTAACCCCCCAAAAAGCTTTTGGCGTTTATTGGACACTTACTGTATGGCAGGGGCTTGGTAAGCCCTAAGGGGAATGATCACATTTAATATTCAAACTGCCCTGTTAGGTATTTTGTGCTCCCTTGACATTGTGATATAAGATTCAGGGAAGCCAAGGGATTTGTCCAAGTGACACAGCTAGTAAGTAGCAGAGCTGGTCTCAAAACAAGGACTGCTGGAATCCAACACCCCTACAGTTACTGCCAGCCCAGCTGAGGCCCTCAGGCCTCCACTGGTGCCCTGATCAGAAGTGTCTCCTCCAGGATCGCCTGGAGCACCTTCGGAGGCAGTGTGGTCCCCACGTCTCAGCTGCAGCCAAGGACTCCGTGGAAGGCATCTGCAGCAAGATCTACCACATCTCCCTGGAGTACGTCAAACGGATCCGAGAGAAGCACCTTGCCATCCTCAAGGAAAACAACATCCCAGGTAGGCAAGGTGGTGGGGAGCCAGCTGCGATGCTGTCAACTCTGTATCCCTGACGCCCTGATGGAAGGAACAAGTGAGGCTGAGCCTCACGCCAGAGACAGGTTTGGGGCAGAACCTGCTGTACTCTGGCGTGGGGGTTTCAGCCCTCCTCTGGCAAATGGAGAAGTGATGAGAAAGGGGAGCCAAAAGTTGGTGGAGAAAGATGGGCCAGGGGTAGGTCGTGAGGTGGACCTGGGTTTACATCCATCCTCTACAAGCCTCGGTTGCCCCAGACCGAGGCCTCACACCTGGCCACAGCATTGCGAGAGTATTCATGGGTAACTCAAGTAAACCATCTGGCCCCAAAAGATCCCCCAATAAGGTATCATGACTATTACGACGAAGGGGATGCAGCGCTCATACTTCTACCTGGCAGCAAGACCCACCAGACCTGAGCCTACCTGCCTGCCAGGCCCCAAGTGCGGCCAACTAGGGCCTGCTTCAGTACGGAGCGTGTTGACACAGACCATTGGTTTCTGGCCCTGCCAACTGCCTGGTGGTTTTTTGTTTTGAATGGCTTTTTGTTCCCTTTTTACTGAAACTGAACCACAATTTACTGAACCATGGAATGAGACTTTCTCCCCATTAGTATGAAGCAAGTGTGTAAAGCACGCGGCACACAGTAGGCACCGAGGCTGCCCACGGTGAGACTGAGCAGAGTGGGGACAGGGCAGCCCCCTACTGTTCTCTTTACCCACAGAGGAGGTGGAAGCCCCCGAGGTGGAGCCCCGCCTGGTGTACTGCTACCCAGTGCGGCTGGCTGTGTCTGCACCCCCCATGCCTAGCGTGGAGATGCACGTGGAGAACAACGTGGTCTGCATCCGGTATAAGGGAGAGATGGTCAAGGTCAGCCGCAACTACTTCAGCAAGCTGGTAAGAGCAGGGGTGAGGGCCCAAGCTGATGGCATGAGTTAGGGCCTGGGGTCTTTTTTGACCAGAGTTGCAGCAGGAGACCAGTGACAAGGGCACGAGGGACCCCTTCTGAAGCCCACCACTTTCTGTCCCACAGTGGCTCCTTTACCGCTACAGCTGCATTGATGACTCTGCCTTTGAGAGGTTCCTGCCCCGGGTCTGGTGCCTTCTCCGACGGTACCAGGTACAGGCCTGGGACAGCCGGGGGAGGGCTCCCCTGGAAGGAGCTGGGAGGCCGAGCCCCAGGTGCTGACCGTGGCCCTTCTGCAGATGATGTTCGGCGTAGGCCTCTATGAGGGGACTGGCCTGCAGGGATCCCTGCCTGTGCACGTCTTTGAGGCCCTCCACCGGCTCTTCGGCGTCAGCTTCGAGTGCTTCGCCTCACCCCTCAACTGCTACTTCCGCCAGTACTGTTCTGCCTTCCCCGACACAGACGGCTACTTTGGTTCCCGAGGGTGAGAGCCAGGGGCTGCTGGGTCCCCACCGCCCAGGCCTGGGAAGCTGTCCCCAAGAGCGCAGGTCCCACCCCGGCCAGCAGCTTCCTGATGCTTTAGGGCTTTGGAGTCAGGCAGTCCTGAGTGTAGCCCCTGCCTCCACCACTTACCAGCTGTGTGACTTTAATCTCTGGGAGCCTCAGCTTTCCTGGCCCTGTGGGCAGGCATGTGACACGTCCTAACCTGGCCTGTGGGTTCCTCAGCTCAGGGTTGGAATAGGAACACGTGGTTCCAGGCCCTGAGAGGAATGAGAAGTGGTGACACAGACCTCAAAGACCTTATAACCAGGAGAGGGGATGCAGAAGGGGAGCACAGAGGAAAGACAGTGCTGTCTCCAGGAGGAAGAAATGGCCAAGCAATCAAGAGATCCAAAGCTCAGCACCCTGGGGACTTCCTGGGTGTGGCAGTGGGCTCAGAACTGGATTTGAACTCCAGGTCCTCCAGCGTGGTGGGCGTAGGCATACAAGCCTGAGCCTGTCTGTCCTCATTCATTCAGTGGAGATGGTTAGACCTTGTGCTAGGGTAAATTAAGGGTGGACACTGGCCTCTGGCCAGACCAGGGCTATCTCTAGCATGGCTGCGTGGGGTAGGGGTGGCACCAGTTTCTGGTTGAGGGACTCAGTCCTGAGGGGACTTTAAATGCTCACCCCTGTCCCCAGGCCCTGCCTAGACTTCGCCCCACTGAGTGGTTCCTTTGAGGCCAACCCTCCATTCTGCGAGGAGCTCATGGATGCTATGGTCTCTCACTTCGAGGTGGGTGTGCTGGTGCTGCTGGGGTGGAGGTGGGGGGACAGGCAGGATGGCCAGCCACCTTGGGGCAGCCCTTAATGTCACCCTGTGCTCTCTCCCACAGAAACTGCTCGAGGGCTCACCGGAGCCCCTGTCTTTCATTGTGTTCATCCCTGAGTGGCGGGAACCCCCCACACCAGCGCTCACCCGCATGGAGCAGAGCCGCTTCAAACGCCACCAGCTGGTCCTGCCTGCCTTCGAGCACGAGTACCGCAGTGGCTCCCAGCACATCTGCAAGAAGTGGGTGCCGGGAGGGCAGGGGAAGGAGAGCCGGGATGACCAGGCGGGGCTGGTCAGGCCAGGCCAAGCCCCACCCTGAGCAGCTGCCTTTGCCCGCAGGGAGGAAATGCACTACAAGGCTGTCCACAACACAGCCGTGCTCTTCCTGCAGAACGACCCTGGCTTTGCCAAGTGGGGGCCGACGCCTGAGCGGCTGCAGGAGCTGAGCGCCGCGTACCGGCAGTCGGGCCGCAGCCATGGCTCTGGCTCTTCCTCATCATCCTCCTCGGAGGCCAAGGACCGGGACTCTGGCCGTGAGCAGGGCCCTAGCCGCGAGTCTCACCCCACTTAACACATCCTGCGGGGAGGAGGAGCCCCAGGGGTGCTGGTACGGACTGCTGGGACTTGGGCCTGTGGGAACTGAGTGGACCCCAGGGCCCTCCTCCTGGGTGGCAGCAGGACCCCAGCTGCCACTGACATAGGAAGATGATGGCTCTGCTAGGGCTCCCCCTCCCTGCCTTTATCCCCCAACTCCCCACCTCAAACTCACTCCAAGTCCCCTGTAAATAGGCCCCACGCCTTCCCAGCCCCACCTTGTTCCATTTGTAAAAGGAAATACAGAAACCCCTCCAAGAATGTGTGAGGGTCTTGAGGGCAGAGAAGGCTGAGGAACCTGGGGCTACTTCTGGGACCACACCCCTCTACATCCAGGCTCTCCTTCTCATGACTCCTGGGCCTTCACACCCCATCCCACGGTCCCCCGAGCTGGGTCCCTGTGGCCTGTGCCTGTGACAGCAGGTCTGAGGAGTCCAGGGCCCTGCATCACCTAGCTCAAGACTCCCACAGCTGGGCCTGCACAGAGGCCTCTGGGGAACAGGACTGGCAGCCATGCCCCGTGCCCAAAGCCACCACAGGGAGTGTGGTTTCATAGCTGAGGCTCAGGAGAAGAGCAGCCTGAGAGCCACAAGGGTCTCCGTGTAGCGCCTGCAGGCATGGAGCACCTATTCCCTGAGGCCGGCAGGGATCAGGGTCTGAAGGTACGTGGTGGGCTCTCCCCAGCTCAGCCGCCTCTTTCTTCCAGGCATCTGCACCAAGGGTCTGCCCTGCTGCCGGACCGCTGTACTTACAGAAGCAGGGCAGGACGCTCCTCGGAGCCAGGCAGCCTCCGTCTCACAGCCCACCTGCAGGGGCTGCGAACAGGCTCCTCCTCCCTTCTGCTTCCCAGGTCCTGGCCTGGTTCAGGCTGCAGCAGCAAGTGGACAAAGCAAGCTGGCTAAGGCCAGACTCTGGTCCCTTTATTGAGACTGAGAGGCCAGTGGGTCCATCCAAACAAAAATAAATTTCTCTCCCAAAGCCTGCCTGCAGGCTGGGGCACCCAGCATGTCCTGGCTGGGGCCCATGGCTGCCTCCCAACCCCAGCAGCACAGGTCTGGCTCCCTTGGAGTGACAGGATGCTGGCTGCCCAGTATCTGGAGCCCCTAAATGGAAGAGGGAGGTGAGTCCTGGTGGGTCCCCCCACCCCCAGGAGGGCTGGCCCCAATATCCACGATCTGCGTTGGCCCCTTGGGGCTCAGTCATCGTTCAGGGTGATGACGTCGTACTCGATGCCCTGGTGCTGCAGCTGCTGAATGTGTTCAGGCACTGCCTCCTCTGTGCCAAACAGGCCCTGGGCTTGGGCCATGGCAGCGTCAGCCACTGCTGCCGGGGAGGGGAAAGCATGGTGAGCCTGAGGCCTGAGAGCTGGGCCTGGCCCCCGTGGTCCTCAGGGTGCAGCCCCATACCTGTGACAGCTGAGTGTGCTGCAGCCTCCAGTTGAGCCTGCGTGACAATCTGCTGGCCTGGGGACACAGGCACATACTGGATCTGGAGGGGAGAAGCTGATGCGATGTGGGCCTGGAAGAGCCCTGCCCATGCCCCAGCTCTACCCAGTCTCCCCTGGCCCTACCTGGGATTCCTGAAGGAATGGGGCTCCTTGTTCATACTGGATGTGTGTGATCTGGCCCTCCTGAACCTGGAGAGAGGAAGCCAACCCGTGATCCTTCCTGGGAGCAGGCTATGCAGCCCTCCCCCAGGCCCCACCCTACCTCCAGGCCTCGCCTACCTGGATGTGATGGCCCTCAGGGACCACGACATATTCCTGGGGGAGCAGGTGCTGGACACTGTCCTGGGAGATGATGTACTGTACCTGAAGAAGGGTGGGGTATAGGCAGGTGCTGAGCCCCCCCCCCACCCCCACCCCCACCCCCACCACACCCGGGGCTCAGCTAAGCAGGTAGAGTGGACCAGAGACACCCACCACCAATAATGGCAGTTGTCGCTGGCAAGCACAGACCCTGGGAGGGATGGTTTGAAGGTACTGTTCCTCCCCAAGAGGGGCCTTGGTGGGGAGCAAGGGAGGGCAGAAAGTCATGGCTGAGGAGGGGTCAGCAGCAGCTCACCTGGTTGTCAGAGGTCACCAGGTGCTGTACTGTCTGGCCATCTGCTGTGGTGATCTCTTGGATGTAGGTGGCTTCCTCCTGCCAGGGCCAAACCAGCTCTAGCCTTGGTTCTCTGTCTGCCCCCACCCCTGCCCATAACCTGCCAGCAGGGGCCCCCAGTTCTGGCTCTTACCTGATTGGTCACTGTCTGTTCCTGGGCCACGATGATGTGTTCCTGGCCCAGTGTCTGCTGTAGCCGCTCTGGGCCCAGGACTCCGTGACTGGACTGGAGCGCAGCTGGGCAGAGAGGGAGGATGCTCACTCAGGGCTCATACTCTGGCCCAGAGGTGCCTCTGGATCCACCCTGGTGCCCACCCCGTGGCCCCAGGGGCAGCTCACTGTGTAGTGTGGCCAGTGTCTCGTCATCACTGTTCAGGATAATGGTCTGGGTGGGAGTCCGGGTTGGGGCCCGGGCTGTAGGGGTCCCTGACTTCCTCCCATCAGGACTGTGCAGCCGCTGGATGTGGAACTTGAGGTGCCCGTTACGGTTGAAACTGAGGGGGACGGAAGAAGGCTCGGGGCGGCTCCACCACGCGTGCCCGGTGGCCCCTGCCCACCAGCACCCAGCCTCACCGCTGCCCGCAGAGGTGGCACGCGAAAGGCTTTTCCTTGGTGTGGGTCAGCACGTGCCGCCGCAGGTCCTTCTTGTTCTTGGAGGCGAAGCTGCACTGGCTGCACTGGTGGGGACGCAGGCTGGAGTGCTGTGCCATGTGGGCCTGCAGGGGGCCACCAGCTGGGTCAGGACAGATGGGAACATTCCCCGGTCCCTGCAGACAGCTGGCCAGGGAACGAGGTGAAGCAGGCCCAGGAAAACCCAAACCCTGTGCACTAATGAGGAGCTGGGTAAACAGCACAAACCGGGTCAAGGTCTGGTGCCGCAATGTTGTGCTGTAAGCATGAAAAGCCACAGGCTCCACCATAAGGACCCTGGGAAAACTCTATCCCAGCTCACAGACTCAGTTTATCCATGTGTAACTTAGAAGAGTCAGATGAGGGGACCTCTGAAGGTCCCATCCAGCTCCATATTCTGGGGCTTAGTCCTGCCTAATAGGAGCCTGTCTCCCCTCGGGGAGGGTGCTGCTCTGGGAGGATGGCCACGTCTGAAAACTGGAAATCTCGGGCAAACGGGGATGTTCTGTGGACCTGCCCCAGCACCTGCCTCACTCGCCTTCTCCACACCAGCTCCCCACCCACCTTGACCCTCTGCCCTCAGTTCTAGATGGCTCTAGTTGTCCCAGCCACGCCTCACCCCGTCACACCTCTGTGTCTTTGCTGCTGCAGGCCCAGCTCAGCCATCCCTCCTCTGTGACATCTTCCCCAGCACCCCATGTCCAAATGACTTGCTCTCCATGTCTGTGCTCCCTGCCCTGCGCACTTGGTTCACGTTGGGGACACTGTCTGCATTAGTCACGTGACATCTGGTTTGCCTCCCCACCAGACCAAGCTCCCTGAGAGCTGGGACCTTGCTGAGTCATCTCTGACCCTAGAGGGGAGCAGAGGACCTGGCTTCAGGGGGTGCTTGGTAGAGGTTTGTAATACAAATGAGTGGTCCAATGAATGACAGCAGAGGCAAGGGGGTGGGGGACACCTACCCGGACTTCAGGCCACTGGCGAGCACTGAAGGGGCAGTCAGGGCACTTGAAGGCACTGGGCCCGGCGTGGGCCCGTTTGTGACTCTCCATCTCTGCTCGGCCAGGGAAGGCCTCAGCACAGATCTTGCAGGAAAACTTCTTTGATGCTGCAGTGGCTGCAGACGGTGGTGAGGAGGGCACGACCAGGCCCAGGGCTTTGCTGCCTGCAGGAGGTGGGGAGGCAGAGCTCTGGGGGTCCCCCACCTGGTGGGTCTTGGCTGGAGATGGGGGCTCAGGGCCATCTCTGGGCAGCCCTCCACACGGCAACAGGGGCCACTTGGCTCCAGAGGCCAGAGCATCCGGATTCGGGAAGGAGATGGAGCCATCTGCAGTCAGCTGTGGAGAGCCCAGGGAGCATGAGGTGCTGGCGTGGGGTGGGGAGGGAGCCGGGGGACAGGGCAGTGGTGGCTACCCCCAGCCTCACCTCGATGTGGTGCAGCTGGGTCCCGTCGGCAGCCATTATGTAGTGGGTGCCAGCTTCCTTGAGGGTGTCGCTCACAACCACAGCCTGGGCTGCCTCCCCTGGGGGCTCCTCGCTGTGAGCACAGAGAAGGGGCAGGATGGAGAGCCACAGGAGGCCACTCCCTGGACAACACGCATCAACTGAGGGGTGCCTGCCACCACAGACGGACTCCAGCAGGAAGGACCCAGGGATGACCCTTGCTCTGCCCTGTCAGCTGACCCTCCACTGGCTCTCCTATAAATGGTTACCAAGTGCCCGGCACAGCATCCTGCCTCCTTGGTAAGCATGGCATTGGGGCTGGGCGGACGGCGAGATAAAGGGCCTCAGTGGTCCAGCCCAAGTCTGGCCAAGTGGGGCAGGAGAAGGCCAGGCTAACAAGTAGCAAAGGAGGTGGAGCCCCCACCATGAGCCTGGTCCCTGGGCAGGGCTAACAAGGACCTGCTGCCCAAGAGCAGAGGGCAGATGCTGAGAGATCTACCTGCCCAGGTGTTAGCCAAGGGAATGGACCCAGGGATCCTGACTCCCGTCCCAGCTGAACAATTTGGGACTTGGATTCAGGGCTCCTTCAGATGGCCTAAGGTTCGCCAAACATAAATATTCCTCCTGCCCAAAAGTGGCTCATTAGAGGGAAGCCAAATGCAGGTGCCAGGTCCCAAATGCCAGCAAAGAAGCCTGGGCTTGCTCCAAATGTTAGAGCCAGAAAACACTTGGGAGCATCTGAGACAAAGAGCACTTGGGCGTGGGAACCAAAGGGACCACAGTTCAAATCCTCCCCTACTGCAGGTCTGACCTTAGGCCAGTTACTTAACCTCCCTAGCCTGTTTCCTCATTTGTAAAATGAGGGAAATGTGGA